TAGACCAGATTTTCATTATTATTTATTTGCATAAAATTTGTTTGTGATATTTTGTCAAAAAAAGCTTTTTTTTTTTTTTTTTTTTTTTAGCTACCAATATTAGAAGCTTAATACATGAACAAAATGAGCTTCCACTTTTGGCACAAACCTTTTTTTAATGTCACGGTTCAAAAGACTATAATTCTCTTGGTATTTCTCCGAGATGTGAATTTCCTCATTCTTGGTAAAAAAATGCAAGGACTCTCATTCTTCAATGTGTTTTCAGTCTGGGGCATGCACTAAATACATATGAAAGATTTTAAAGGGCATGATGTAGGAGACCATTGTCTGAAACGCCAAATTTCCAAAGGAAACCCTCCGCAAAATAATAATAATAATAATAATTCTGTAATAATAATAAAAATAATATAATAATAATAATAATAATCGAAATCTCAAATAGGAATTTTTTTAAAAATCTTTATTGTCGTTGGTTCATTATTCCTGCCTTTATTATTTCTCATCATGTTCCCATTACGGTACAAATAAATTACGTACTAGTCACGTGATCAACGCTCGACAACTTTAAAAAATATCGTAACAAACAAAAATCATTTCTTCGCAGCAATAATAAACAAAATTCAAAAAAGTCAGTTGTCTCATATCACAACATTATTTGTTCGCATACAAATTACTCCTTGCAGTTTCCATCTTGGAAGAAACTATCTATTTTGTATCAACCTAGTCGTCTTTGATCAAACACTACATTACATTACACGCATAATTCAAAACAAGTTTCATTGAAACATATGATAATTTTCTCATTTGATCATTTGTAATGTCCCGCAATGTACGTACCAAGGGTTTTGTATTATGCTTCATTATTCCTATAATTTCCTCGTCGGGATTTTCTTTTTCAAAAATAGGTGATTGACATAACATGCGCTAAAAGGATTAAATTATTGTTTTTTCTCTCGTTCCTTTCTTTTAATTCTCTACTTAATTGCATGCATTAATATTGATTACTTTTCACTCTTCTTGATGCATGTACTGTAATTTAATTATAAACAATATTATCTTGTTGTCTTTCTTTTTTTACCATTGTTGTTTTTTCGATCTGCAAAATGCTGTAAATTGTCAATCAACCCCCTTCCCTTAATTTATTATTAATTCATTACTAGTCTCTTTGACAGCTTGACGTTCAATTTGTCCTAATAAAGATTTCTTATTATTTCTTATTGTTGCCGATTTCAAGTTGTTAATGACTTTCCAAAATACTGTCGACAGATTGTTATCGATTACCTATTGACACTTGACTCTTTTTACTATTTTGATGTTCGCCTATCGGAATTCCGACCTCAAACTCTTATCTTCCGATCTATTTCAAAGATTTCAAAGAGAAACTAATGTCATAAAACAAATATAAAAAAAATATATCAAATCAAAGAATTATAAATTTTCTTTTATTTTCACGAGAAAGTTCGACTCTGCAAAGTAATCCCCGCATGCCGTAATCTGGTGATGTTGAAAAAATTGGTTTTCTTGGAAATTTTCCCACTAAACATTGAAATATTGGAAATTTTCATGCCAATAATGATGATTTTGTTGTTTAATCTACATTGTTCTTATCAATACTTTGATCATTTTTGTTTTAATATTATTAATATTATTAATTGGATTAATGTTATCTATCATCTATTCGTTTTCTAAACTTAAAGCCAAATCTCATGATCCATCTTCCTTTCATTATCGAGCGTCAACAAAAAAAAAAAAAAAAAAATCGCTTTCTCATTATAAACTTTTTTAGATTAAACGACACAAATGTTTCGACATTCCAATGCGCAAATCCGTTCTTATTATACTCCTTTACGCACGATAGGTCGTGGAACTTTTGGTAGATACATCCTTGTGCGCTCTAAACAGCTATGTCACAGTTATATGTCATAAAAGAGAATGACCTTTCAAAACTTAAAAACGCAAAGAACCGTATGGGAGCAAGACGTGAAGTTGAATTGTTAAAACAATTAAATTGTTAAATTTGTTGAAAGTTGGGAAGATCATAACGGTCTCATTACCAATAAATTCAATAATTCTTTACAATATTCAACCTCTCAAGATAATGATCAACCAGAAAGGAAACTTGTCCTCCCGCAAGAATATCGGGTTTTAAATATTGTAACCGAATATATGGATGGTGGTAAGTTTCGGTTTCTTCAAATTTAATTTCTAATAATGTCATGTTACGTAATTAAGCTTTAAAAATTTCTTTTTCGCGTATCTTTATTCAAGCAATTTATTAATGACGTTTATGATTTTCCAAATATGTTCCGTATGTGCGCGCGTGGTCGTCGTCGATCTGTTTCACTATTTTTCCGCGACCGGACTTCAAAAATCCACGCGATTTTCGTTCATTTGTACAACTACATATGAAACAGGAGACCTTTATACCATCATTCAAAACCAAAGGAGAATAGGTATTCTCTTTAAAGAAGATCAAATATTGGATTGGTTCGTTCAATTATGTTTGTCCATAGAGTATATTCATGACCATCGAATTTTACATAGAGATAATGCTGATTTACGACTTATGACGATCAGAAATTAACGTCATTTATTACCTTTTTTAAATTTAATTTTTTTCTCCTTTTGGCATTAAAAAAAAAAAAACTAGATATCTAGACTAAATATCTTTCTTAGCAAAGATCAATCGATTGTCAAGCTTGGTGACTTTGGAATCGCAAAAAAATTGAAACATGCAAATACGGCAATCGGTATTTATATATTTATTTCTCATAATTTTTAATCGTCCATTGTTTTCTATATACTATCTTTAAAATCATTAATTTGATAACCTAGGATCCTCAGTCCCGAAATCCGTGATAACAAATCATATCCTTTTCTTTTTCCAAAATCTGTTAAATCTTCGCTTGAAATTAGAGTGTGATCTTTAATATTAGTCGACCATGACCATGGATAATTGTTTATCCTTAATTTATATTTTATTTTTATTATTATTTTTTTTTATTCTTATATCATTTTATTTTTATATAAACATATAATAAGATGTCTGATATTTGGGCGTTCGTAATTATCTACTATGATATTATTTACATTATTGTTTTATTTCTAATTTTTTTTTTTTTTGTTCATTACTTTCTAGTACGAAATGACGGCATTACGTCACGCGTTTGAAGCTAAAAATACGACAGGGTTGTTTCTTAAAATTTCAAAAGGAATTTATCCACCTATTCCAAGGTATAATTTCTATATGTATGTGCGCACGTGCTTGTCACATCACAGTAAAACGAATTTTCTTTAAGTACGTATGTACGTACAACCATCTTTCTGTCATATCACAAAAGATCATCTAAATAATACAATTAAAAATCTATTTATAGCCTCTACTCTAAAAATCTTAGAAACTTGTCTCATCATTACTGAAAATATATCCGAATGATCGACCTTCTGTTGAGGACATTCTACTTTTTGAAAAATCACAGAACGCGTCACGAGTAACTCTCTCGTGCCAGGATACTTCTTCTCAAAAGGTAAAAAAAAATTTTTTACAAATTCGGTAAAATATATTTATTATTATCATTGACCATCTTTTTTAAATTCTAAATAAAGTTAAGTGTAGATCATCAATCACAATGTGAAGAAAATACTGATACTTCTTTATCGAATTCGCGATTAATTGATAATTTTTTTTAAAGAATATGGGTGTAATCCTGTTAGTAGAGTGTCTTATGGTAAAATTTACCAAGCAAAAACCGGCAGAGATGAATCTTAATGCATTATCATCAGAAGGAAAATCTCAAGAAACACAAGTTTCTTCAAACGTAAAAAAATCCGAGAATCACAAAAATATTCAAAAGCCACAGAGTGTCGTACATAAATCACACGTGAAAGAAGAACCCATACGAAAATCTTTGGCAAAAAGTGTCAAGGCCATAACAAACCATAATGACGGCCATACTGAAACCGGTGAAACTAAAAACAATAATCTTAAAAACAGTCCCCAACACAATAGTGTTGTGGAATCTACAATAAATTCTAATAATTTTAATAACATCTCATCATCAAACGACAAGATTGACATTCGTAACAGCAATTTTGGCAGTGAGAAGACTACTAATGAAACAAGAAAACCAAGTCAAACTAGTACATTAAAAAGATCAACAATAGTAACGTCAAATGCAGTCATGCTAGTAAATGCATTGCGTGCAACGGTAGTAACGTAGACACCAATAGGAAGGCGTCGCTAAAAAATTTGCCATCAAGCAAAAACCAATGATCCAAAATGATAAAGCTTGCCCCCATTAAAATTGATTCTCAATCACATCAGAAACAACAAAAAATTCATCGACAACTATCGAACAAGCCGTATCCGTTTCAACTAACAATGCTTCCAATGCACCAAATACTCTGCCACTTCCCATACCACCTTTATCTCCATCAAAAAAGGTTAATTATTCTAATAATGAAGATAATACCAAAATAACCATCACGTCATCTTCACTTTTATACTCAATTGCTAGTAAAGACACGAAAAAGAAGTCACGGGATACACCCTTTTCACTTATTGAAGGATTAAAACAAGATATTGAACATTTATTTATTAGGATTTGATAAATTCAATTAATGTTATAAACTTTTAATTTACAGAAGCAAAAAATTGATGAAAATCAGAATCAATCAAGAAAGATAATAAAAGAAAAAATTATTGAACCTTCTTCTAAACGGTAGAGGCCAACATAACTACATACCCATTTTGAAAAAATTGGGTAGGTAGATTTTAAAATTTCTAAATTATTATTCGCCATTGAGTGTAAACCATTATCACCATTTTTCAAAATCATAGCTTTACTGTTACTAAATTCAGTACTTTTTGAACAAGAAGCATACTTGGTGGCGTTCAGAAACAAATTTTTCGGTTATTCTCAAAAATAAAATTTCCGAATATACATCTATTATTAATATGGATGGCACATTTAATTCAGATTAATTTGGAATATATTTTTTGATATAAATATAAACTTATAATTGATATGTTTTTCACACTGATTATATTTTTTTTTTCATTCATATCACTCTCGAACTTATCACAATTTTTTTTTGTTAGAATAAACTGACTAACTCAAAATGGTGAAATGGTGTAACGAAAAAAAAATAAATATATCGCAATAAAAATAGACAAAAAGGTCAGACTAATTATAGTAAGGAAACTAATAAATACTTTCTTATAATTAACTTTAATAATATTATATAATGATACACTTCTCTAACAAATGTTTACCAATAAACATTTTTGGTAACGATTAACAAATAAAAAGAATTCGTTAAAATTTGTTATTGTTATTGTATAAAACTGATTTAATACAGACATCGATATAACGATAACGAACTCCTTTACACCGGATTCACTGGTTTAACGGACCAAATTTGAAGTTCCGACAATTTTAAAAACGGTTATTTAGTGAAAAAAAAAAGCCATATTATGTACAATACGTATAACGGACATTTTCGTCAGCCCACTTACTAATTTTATTTTAAATTACTAACCAATATAACGAATTTATCGAATTTATCTGCTAGTTACCAATCATAACCCAATTCTATGACTGCGATTTATTAATGGCTATGGTCTGAATTCGGTCTATAACGAAATTTAACGTTTATCAATCCCATGATATTGTATAGATAACGGGACCGCTATACCGCATTATAAATAATTATTTTATTTATCTGTTGTTATTTTATTTTATACTTGTAGTTTTTTTTTTCGAAAATAAAAAAGTATTGAAAGATAAAATTAGATAATTTGTGTTTGAATTGAGTTTAATAGATTACTACGTAAAAAAAAATTCTGTCTAAAATACGTACTTACTGTAAGGGAAGGTAACTTAGTGACACATTTAAGGAGAATCAAACTATGTATAACGATAATACATATAATCATGCACACTCTAAAATGAACCGCATTTACATTAAGAAAAAATTGATCTGGGGCGTATACTTTTTAGTTTGTGTTGACTAAACAATTATAAGGGTACAAAAAAGTTTGTTTACTTTTTTTTTTTAATGATTACTAATATCGGCGTGGCATAAAAAGCCAGTATTTTTTAATACGGATAAAATTACGTGTATTAGGCTTATATATCATGGTGCTAATAGCTGTTAACTTTATTAACTTTTAATATAAAAACTAAATATTTAAGATTTATATATTTTTTATTTTTTGATGATTATATAAGTTGTATTTATTATACTACACAGCAGTGTTAGATATCTAATGTTCTCAGTGTTCTCAAAAACATTTAAAAAAATTTGAAAACATTATATTAAAAAATTATGTTCTCTTTTGAGAACCAACTAAGAACATAAAATTTATAATTTATGTTCTCATATGATATATAGAAAA